AGCTTTTTGGGACTGGGATGATGGTGGCAGTCTTCAGGCAGGTGGGACTGTCTCCAGGGTAAGTGAGGTGTTAAAGATGTCTGCCAGCACCTCGCAGAGCTGATCATCACATTCCTTCAATACTTTTCCGGGGATGTTGTCTGGGCCAGTTGCTTTGTGCGGATTAATCCTCCTGAAAGTACTCCTTACTTCTGCTGAGGTCACGCTGAGATGCTCTTCATCCGGTGTTGAGGTGAGTCTGGTGCTGGGTGGTCTGTTCCGGTCTTCAAAGCGTGCATAGAACTTGTTGAGGGTATCAGGCAGAGATGGGTCTTTGGGGCATTGTTCGCTCCTTCCTTTATTATCTGTTATGCACTTAATGCCCCTCCACATACTCCGAGGGTCTTGTGAGATGAATTGACCCTCGATCTGTGCATATGTGGCCTTGGCCCTCTTAGTACTAGCAACCAGCTCTTTTCTTGTCCTACTCAGCTCCTCTGAGTTTCCAGACCTGAAGGCAGTGTTCCTGGCTTCCAGCAGGGTACGCACCTCTGCATTCAGCCAAGGTTTTCTGTTTGGGTAGCTTTTAACATTTCTGATAGTGGAGACGGTGTCAGTACATGTACTAATGTAACCCAGAACTGAGGATGTGTATTGGTCCAGATCAAGCGATCCTCCGTTTTCAGCAGCTTCTCTGAAAACCTGCCAGTCTGTTCGGTCAAAACAATCTCTCAGTCTGGGGCCACTGTCCTGGATCCAGCATTTAATTTTCTTTTGTACCGGTCTGGAGCGTCTCAGCGGGGGCATGTAAGCAGGAGCCAGGAAGATTGGCTTTAGGACTGATTTCAAATTAAATAACTACACAATTCATTATCTTATTTTTAGTCTAGACAAGAAACATTTAAAGTCTACAAAATGCCAGATGCAAACTCCACTTATGTAAATTGTGAATGTTACATTTATGAAAGAACTTTAAGCCTATTTGTTGGGAAAAAAAACATTTAAACAACTAATCCATTGTATCATAAATATTAGGAAGGAATTACATTAAAATTCTAAAATATAATTCAAGCAAAGGACAAAATAATTTATGCTTGGTGTTTTTGTCAGCCAGTATTCTTGCATACTATTGTGTAACATAAGGTATATATGCTAAAAGGTAACACAAACAGTTTCCAGACAAACATTTAATTGCTGCACATTTAGGCTTACAGAGTTTTGAGGCCGCTTAAGCCTTTGAACATGCGTCCTTGCAGTCCCGTTAGCTTGTTCCCCGTTAGCAGCAGCTCCAAAACTCCACCTGCTCCATCAAATGCACCTTCACGAATGTCTCTCAGCTTATTGTTACTCAGGTTACTGCAGGAAGAACAGAATTGTGACAATTTTCATGATGATATTTGTTAGGGATTAGTTTATAGCACTTTACCCTGTGCAAGTTTGCTGATGAAGTTGTTCTTGTAAACTGTTAAAGGGTCTAGAAGACCACACACACAAACACACATACATTATTTAAATGTTTTATTTTATTTTATTGTGTTACCATTATTGTATTGCTGTCATGTTTTTGCATCAGTCCCTCTATTTGCTTAGGAAAGAATTAATTTTTAGCCAAAGTAGTTTTCTTAATCATTTATAATACAGTATTAGACTGATTGATATGTATTAGTGAACGGTTTAAAAAAAAAAAAAAAAAAACACCCAGGGCCTTATGATTAATATATATTTATATATATAAAAAAATATAATTTAATAATA